AAGAAGTCCATGGAGACCCCACTAGATGGACCTTGTCCTAGTCTGTTTCTTCACTGCTGTGACAAAACACTCTGACCAATACCAACTTAGGGAGAAAAAGGTTTATTTGGCTTACATCTTCCAGGTTACAGTTCATCAGGGAGCTCAAGGTAGGAAATCAGGGCAGGAACCTGGAGGCAGGAGCTGGAACACAGGCCATGGAGGAACTCTGCTTACTGGCTTGCTACTCTGGCCCCTATTCAGCCTACATTCTTATGCAGCACAGGCCCACCTGCCCAGGAGTGCCATCGCCCACAGTGGGCTGGGCCCTCCCACATCACTCAACAATCAAGAAGGTGCCCCATGGACATGACCACAGGCCCGTCCAATGAAGGCAATTCCCCAATCGGGGCTCCCTCAACCCAGGTGTGTCAAGTTGACACTAAAGCTATCCAGAACAGACCTGAACAAGTGTCCAGTCTACAAAGAGGCGGGTCAACACAGAGGAATCATTTCCTCCATGCTTCCAAGTGAAGCCAGCCATGGCCGAGTAGGATTTTTGACTTATCGTCACATAGATGGAACTGATAAAAGAAAGGAGCCAAGGGCTCCTCCCAAGCCCATGTTAACCCTGAGGGACAGATCCTCAAATAACCTTAAGAGTAAAAATAAATTGGTTTATCTGGGCCAATTGTAGGATCTTAAACACCCAAAAGGAAAGTATAACCAAAGATTAAAGGGGTCAATATAATTTTTAAAAGTCCATATGTATAGCTAAAGGCTACATAACAAGAAACGATGCCAGACAGGATACATTCATTTGAGTTATTGGCCAGGGTGGCCCAAAAAACTCCCAGATGGTAATCCAGCATAGGAACTGGGAAAATGAACAGCAGATCCCAATCTTATCTAAAGGAATATTGACAATTGATTGCTGCTAGATGACAAACACCTGATCTTCCTAAAACAAGGATCTCTAGATAGGCTGACTAGACTCAGCTGACAGAGAAGCACTGGGGAATGGCTGGGAATTTTTCAGGTAATGTCCAACACAGTAGACAGTAACAGGGATGACAGAGTATATGGGCTCCAGTGGGAGAGGGGAGCCTATGTGAGGGTGCCTTTTGGGAAGTGGGTATATAGATGAATAACATTGTATGGGATGTTATGTATGATATACACAAAAAACCAACAAATTTTTAAAAAGACATATTTGAGGAGGAAGCATAAAAATTTACTTCATATTAAATAGTAGAGGCAAAAAACATTAACATTGAAATCTACCTGATGACTTTATATCCATACACAGGTGCCAAGGATCCAAGAGCAACCGACCAT